AACGCTAACCACTGACTTTTTCACATTAATACAGATTTGGTTTAGTTTTTGTCTTTTACTTTTACTTTTTAGACTTTTAGAACAGACCTGGAGAGCTTCCTAATAAGATATAGAATGCCAAGGTCATATGATGATCAAGTGCCACTAGTGTGAAAATGGCGATTGTTAAATTTGTGATGTAACGCGAGCAACCGACAAGGACACACTTGTCGCTGTACTTAAGCCCCATAGCACCCAAACAGATTGAGTTAGCTTATTTGACTGCTTTCGTCATTAGTTCCAGTTACTCATTGCATTCGGTCATTTTATTGTTTCTGTTCATATTGGCTTTTAACTTAATTATATTCTGACCCAATAAACAAGTAGTTTAAAATCGTGCTTGAAGTTGAAACCTTAAGGCCAACTTATCACTGCACCAGTGATACAGCTATACAGGTGCACACAAATAGTTAAATGAACAAATGAAATCAAACATAAGTTTAAATCAAACATACACTTTATTTACTGTACAAAATGTATAGCATGGGTATCATGCCAAGATCAGATGATGAAGGGGCTGATTACTACTCTGACTGGGCCTTCTCCATCGCTTTGATATGATGCTGGTTGCCCTTCATGAGCATCAGCCTCTCAGTTTCCATCTGGCAGGGTGGTGCTATACTTAATGAATAGGTTGATCAAGACCTGCTCACAAGAAGGCGACTTCACTTGCGACCTCCTTCAAGCCGGTCTCCAGCCAGGTCTTCACCATGCTCTGTGCCTTTGACTTCAGTGACCTGTGGCTTCTGCTGTCCTGGAACTGAGTGATGCTGCTGAAGAAATCATCTTCATCCTCATTAGTGGTGCTGCTCTCCTCACTGCTTCCCAACTACCAACAACTTATGCATTTTTTTTAGTAGACTCAAAGTTAGCGGAACTTTATTTAGCAGAAGCTAATTGGTCTGCTAACGGTTTCCAAAGTTAGCGGAAATGCTATTCTACTAAAAAAGTTAGTTCTGCTTCAGATCAAACCTGATTACTACCTAGCCTCTTATAATACCAGTCAATGTTTTAGTTGTTTATTTCTCAGCTATCTCTTTCCCTTTTCTTAATCTAGCCTTTGTCCTCTCTGCTGACTCTTTTCATACTGCTGTTCCATTCGTCATTCCTTGATTTGTAAGCCTTCCTTCAGAATATGCAGTTACTAGTCTCTCATTCGTATTCTACCCTTTACTCTGATCTGTGTTATTTCCCTGTTTGGGCACCTCCTTAGGGGGGGAGGAATGAGTCAGTGGGCAGGGATGGAGAAGAGACATGGAATATGTATGTGGCCAGGGCAAGTGGCAAGAATGACGTAATGGGGTATGAATGAGTGCCTGGGGCTGGGGTGAAGGTTGAATAGGGCTAGGGCAGGGTGCTGATGTGGTGCAGAAGCTGGAGGAACTGGGGGGAAAGGGAAAGAATGGAACAACGGGCATGGATGGGCCTGAGTCAGGGTGCTGGGGTAGGAGAGACTGAACAGGGCTGAGGCAGGGTTTTGGTAGAGTGCAGGGGCTAGTAAAAGTGTGCTGACATGGCTATCAAATTACTCCAACTACAACATCCCCACCCCTCCTTCAGAGTGCAGGCACTGCCCCTCCCACCTCCAGGACTCAAGCCCAGCCTTTCATAAAAGTTATCAAACAGAAGAAGCACAAAGGGAATGAAAGGCCATTCAGGACATTGCAAGAAATTCTAAACCCAAAGTTACCCTACTCACACTCCAAAAACTCTTACAAGCCTGCTGGACACTCCAGTCCTTCAAAGGAGGTTCCCTGATGCTAGTGAGGGGCTCTAGCTCCAAGAAACTGGATTTGTTAAAAAATTGAATGTCTCCCAAACCCTAGACACTGTATGATCCTTAGGAGTTCAGCAATTCCCACTAAATATAATAAATGCATGGAGATGTGCTAAATGTGCTAGGGTTGTACAGCACCTAGGGAATGGGAGCTAATCAATTTTATCCAGAGGGAAAGAGGGTAGCTTCAAATTCAATTGCTAGTACGTTTGTGGAAAGCACATTAAAGTATAAAGATCAATGGACTACACTTCTGTATGAATACAGTATATACAAACTCAGTCAACAATATTGTATGTATATTGAGAAACTTAACATATTTAATGGTTGAGTCTTGTGGACTGGTGTTTGGCAGTGTCTACCAGATCTTTTAAACTTTCATGAATCTCTGAAAAGCCTGAAGTGCTGTGCAACATTCTGAAAATATTCCAGTGACAATTCAGGACCCACACTAAAGCAGCTCATAAGCCATGCATTTTAAAGAAGACAGTATCTCACCCAGGTACAGTATTATCAACAAACATTGCTGAGAATAAGAAAAAGTTTTGGAGTGAGATTAATAAGTTATGAAAGTCTAGGGAACAAATGGATTTGACAGTTAAAAATAGGAGAAGAGTTCTTAGATAGAGAATTGGAACTATCGGGAAGATGGAGGGAATATTTTGAGGAACTGTTTAATTGTTGATGAAGATAGGAAAGCTGTAATTTTGTGCATTGGGCAAGGAGGTATAATATAGCAGTGAGGAAGAGCCAGATGTGAGTGGGGAGGGGGAGTGTGTGAGGCAGTGGGTAGAATGAAAGGGGGGTAAAGCAGCTGGGATTGACGGGATAAAGACAGAAATGTTAAAAACAGATGGGGATATAGTTTTGGAATGGTTGGCACTTTTAACAAATGTATGGAAGAGGGGTATTTATGGATTGGCAGAGAGCATACATAATTCCTTTGCATAAAGGCAAAGCAGACAAGAGTGTATAAAAATTATTGGGGAATAAGCCTGTCGTGTATACTTGGTAAAGTGTATGGCAATTATTGAAAGAATTAAGAGTAAGCCGGACAGCAGGATCGCAGATGAACAAGGCTTTAGGAAGGGTAGGGGTGCATAGACCAAGTGTTTACAGTGAACATAAGTGAACAGTATTTAGATAAGGTATAGAGGTTTTTGTTGCATTTATGGATTTGGAAAGGGATATGATAGGGTAGATAGAAGAGCAATGTGGCAGATGTTGCAAATGTATGGAATTAGTGGTAGGTTACTGAAAGCAGTTAAGAGTTATTACAAGGATAATTAGGCTCAAATTAGAGTATGTAGGAGAGAGAGAGATTATTTCCCAGTAAAAGTAGGCTTTAGACAGGGATGTGTAGTGTCACCATGGTTGTTCAATATATTAATAGATGGGGTTGTAAGGGAAGTAAACGCTTAGGTGTTGAATTAAGAGATGAAGCTAACACAAAGTTGTCAGTCAATTTTTACTGATGACACTGCTTTTGGGAGATTCTGAAGAGAAGTTGCAGAGGTTAGTGAATGAATTTGGAAGGGTATGTAAAAGAAGGAAATTAAAAGTGAGTATACGAAAGAGCAAGGTGATGAAGATAACAAAAAATTTAGGTAATGAAAGACTTAATATCAGATTGGAGGGAAGGAAGGAGTGAATGTATTCAGATATTTGGGAGTGGACTTGTCAGCAGATGGGTCTAGGAAAGATGAGGTGAATCATAGAATTGATGATGGGGGAAAAAGGTGAGTGGGGCACTGAAGAGTCTGTGGAGACAAAGAACATTATCAATGGAAGCAGAGAGGGGAATGTATGAGAGTATAGTGGTAGCTATGCTCATGTATGGGTAGTGAATGTTGCAACAAGAAGGCTGGAGGCTGTGGAGATGCCTTGTCTGGGGGCAATGTCTGGTGTGAATATAATGCAGAGAATCCATAGCTTTTAATTTAGGTGTGGGATTTCTAAAAGTAATTATCCAAAGTGCAGAGGCAGGGTTACTGAGGTGGTTTGAACAATGAAAGGATGAGGCAGTCCTAGGAAAGGTTGGAGGGAGAGGGTAAAGGAGGTTTTGTGTGAGGGGCTTGGATTTCCAGTAAGTGTACACGAGCGTGTTAGATAGGAGCGAGTGGAGACAAATGGCATTTATGACGATGTGCTGTTGGAGTGTGAGCAAAGTAACATTTATGAAGGGATTTAGGGAAACCGGTTAGCTGGACTTGAGTCCTGGAGATAGAAAGTACAGTGCCTGCACTCTGAAGGGTGTTGATATGTGGCATTTTTTTTTTTAACTGTACTGTATGCATGCCTCTGGCAAGACAGTGATGAAATGAATGATGAGGCAAGTGTTTCCTCTTTTTTGGGTCACCCTGCCTCGTTGGGAAATGGTCAATGTGTTAAAAAAAAAAAAAAAAAAAAAAAGTAAAAGTATTAGGATAACATGTAATAATAATTATTATAATCAAGGGGGAAGCACTAAACCCGTAGGATTATACAGTGCCTGTGGGGGGGATGGAAGGTATTCAGAGTTAATTCAGGGAACTGGAGCACAGATGTAATAAGGTGTAATATTATAATCAGAATGATGTGCCAAACCCTTAAGGATCATACAGTGCTGAGAGAAGTGTAATAGAGTATGACCTGAGAAAGGAGAGGGCAATGCCTTTCACCAGCACCAAGATACCCTCTTTAACCCTTAAACAGTCCAAAGAGATCGACGTTCAAACTCGTAGTGCTACAAAAGTAATCTTTTTTTTACATATTTTCAAATATAACAAAAAAAAATGTAGATAAAAGTTTTTTTACACGTTTTCAAATGTAAAACAAAAAAGATGATCTACATTCTTTTACATACTTTCAGATGTTGAAAAAACGTATATGTACGTTTGGACTATTTAAGGGTTAAAGGGAGAGATTAAAATATAATAGTGTTCCATTTATTTTATTTTAGTCTCAATATTCCATTAAATAAAGTTTTGATTATCTGAGTAATTGATTCTACCTTTCCCTTCCTCAGGTCATACTCTATTGCACCTCTCCCTCCCCACTAGAGCTAGTGTGTTCTTGCTAGACACACTATCAATAGAACCTTGAACATTCAAAAAGGTGTTGAGAGAACCTCCCAAACTATTGCTCAGCTACATTTGTTTAAAGATGGATTAACTTTACCTATTTCAGTAATGAAATTACAGTATTCTTTACCATTCACTTTATTTACCTAAATATATGATTTATACACATTTTGAAGCAGCTAACTAAATTGCCAGTCAAATATCACAGCAATTTAATACAGAAGCATAGACTCTTTGTGCATTTAACCCCTATGGGTTTAGCCCTTTTTCCTTATACATAATAATATAACAGACACTTAGCAAGATTTTTAATGCTGCCGTCAGTTATGCACATAATTTATATTTTTATTTTGAGCAAACATTTGTACATTAATTGGGAAGCCCTATGAAATGTCTTATAGACTGGGCAACTCAATATTTACCAGTGATTTACCTTAGGAATTTATGAAAATATCAAAATTCCTGCATGCAGTGTAAATGGTGGATAATTTATTCACAAACAGAACCAATTATTATAATAGGAATAATAATTTATAAGAAATTGTCATAGTAGAAAACAAGCTCTTAACATGTATAGGTCATAGTGCACAATAGAACTTAAATATATACTAAAAAATATCAGCATATAATCAAACTACAGCTGTACCTGCAGTTATTATAACCATGTAACCTAATCACATTTCTGATGCATGCATGACTAAAAAATTCAGATTTTAATTGTATAGCTGTTAGATTTTCCCATATAATGTTTCAAACCTATGTTCTGATACTTAGCTACTAGTAATATTAGCATTTAAAGAATGTGACATGGTTTTATAATAGTTTCTCCAGCCTTGCCTGAAATATGTATACTATATTATGGTTTAAGCAATTGTACATTTTCATTATGCTATCCTGATATTGTGAAGTAAATTTTTTGCTTTGAATACGTGGTTCAAGGAATTTATTTTACATAACCAATTATTATACATAACACTAACATCAATAATTTTGTACAAAACAATTATTGAAATTGTGTATCTACATTCATACTAAAACTATTTATTGAAATTTATAATGAAGCTTGTTTTGATATACTGAAACTTGACTGAAATTTATATTTAAACTTTACTAATTTTTAATGTACACACATGGTAATTTGACCATTATCCTGAAAATAATATTTTGCAATAAACTTTATTTTATTTCAGTTTGATAAAAATTATATGCAGGACTAACATATAATACATAACAGTCGTAGTCTAAAAAGAACAGGGCATAGTGACGAATAAGAAAATACTCAGTATTGTCTGGAACTTGAGTGAGAATAGGAATTTGGAGGTGGATATGATGAGGATGGACCCGCTGTTGGATAGCTAGTTGGATTAGTAGAAGCAGGTGGTGGTGCATAATATGAAGAGGAGGTAGACCCATGAGGAGGAGGAGGGTAGTGACTCTGAGGAGGTGGTTGATTTGTGGGTGGGGTGGGGTAATGTGTTGTGGTGGATGCTTGATGGTAAGAAGCAGGAGGATGATTTGTTGTAGAATAATGAGACGGTGGAGGTTGTGAAGTATAATGTGGAGGAGCAGCAGCAGCTTGGCATGTAGCATGCAGCAGGTGGGGGGTAGTGTCTTTGAGGTGGTTGATATGCTGGAGGGGGTGCCTGAGGAGGAGCCTGTGGAGGTGGCCCTTGAGTAGTAGATGGAGGGTAAGAATATGGGTACCGCTGGGTAGCAGCAGTAGAAGTTCCCTGAGATGAACTTTGGGAAGGATAAGATGAAGGATAATTTGAATACTGGTAGGGGTACTGGAAGGATTGTGAGGGAGTAGTATTTTCTGTCTTGGCAGGAGAGGATTTCACTTCTTCTTTCTTAACCTTCTTGGCAGGAGGTGGAGCTGCACTGCTTGCCTGTGTTGGTGTTGATGGTCGTCGAGGAGTAGCTCCAGGCATGACGAGAGCAGTGTCACCAGAAGTTGATCCTGTTTCTGATCTATTTGGTGAGTAGAGATCAAGAACTTGGTGACATATATCTGAAAACATAAAAATAAATTATTTCATCTCCTAATAAACAAATACTGGATACAGCATCTGAAAAGGAATTATGTTGCTTAATAATAAGTAAATTCTTTCTAACTGTCGACACATACCAAACTACTGCATTTCTTCCAAGCCTCTTCCAAACTAGTCAGTGGCGATATTCCTGCTAAGATCAGCAAGACCTTCCCTTACCCATTTCCTACCTACAAGCCAAAATATGGCTGAAAAATAATATACCGTACAGCAGGTCCTCGAATAATGTTGTTTTGTTATAACATGGATGAGAAAAAATCCAATACAAATTACTGTAAAATAAAAATTCAAAGTATACAACACTCATACAAATGCATGACAAACAATGTGGTACAAAAACACTCAGCGAGCCCATCATATTTATTATTGTTTTTGAACTGCGTGATGGTAGGAAGTGCTCCTTACAATTTTAGCTTTACAAACATTTATTCCTTGATTTAACCCTGTTGTAATGAGTGCTAAAGATGCACTGTGCACCTGTCTGTGACCACAAAAAACAGAGAAAAAGTGTGACATTAGAAACAAAGCAAGAAGTTTCAATTAGCCTATGGTAAAACTGGTTTCATTATACTTCATTTGTTGTAGTTTCCAAGACCCTATTGATGATATTAAGAGAGGACTTGCTATACTTTACTTCCATTGTGAACTCCTTTCTGGCAAATCTACTTTTAAGATAAATCAAATGTTATTTCAGTAAAGGCCAAACAATAATTATGATATACAGTAGACTGTCCTTTAACATGAGTTTATTTGGCACAATTCGGTTATAGCACGACTGAAGAATTGCGGCACAATTTTATTCAACACTTCGTAAAATTTAACATGGTTCAGTTTGCGAGTGGAAAAAAAAAAATTTTGAGTGCGCAGTCACCCGCAGGATTGGCTGTGAGTTATACCACTGCTTCAACAAGGAAGACCTACTGCCACCCTCTGCAACCACCACCACCACCCTCCCAGCCTTCAATTCAGTTCATACGTGTGTAGGGCGATCCTCTGGGAGTTCGCTGTGTTTGTTTAGACACATATTTTAATTGCTATATCTAAAATCTGCCAAGCAATCATGGCACCCAGTAGGCATACAAGTATTCTGAAAGTGGCAAGAAAACGTATAAATGTTTAAGTCTTAGAATTAACAAAGAAAATAGAGATATTAGACAAGAGATAGCCAGTGGCCATAATGAAGCTCACTTTGTGCACAAAAGAATGAGGTAAATATATGACTGTACATGATGACTGACTTCACTGATTTACTGACTGAATTACTTACTGGCTTGACTGACTTTAAAATAGAACAGAAATCTATTACAGAATTTATGCACACTCCAGTACAACCGTTGACTTCAGTACCAGAACCTCTACCATCCACCTCAGCCCAGTAGGGCCACAGCATAACTCTCCACAATTATCCACAATTTAAGGTAAGAAATACTATTATTTCTATTGCATTTGTAATCTTAAGCAGTAAAAACAACATAATACATCACGACAATGAACTACAATTACATATTCACTTTTATTTTTGAAAGATGTGGCGGCCTAAAAAAAAGTTTTGGCTTTTGGGGCTCCAAGGAATGTAACCCTATTTTTCCTATAAATTCTTCAGTTCATCTAACACAGTTTTACCTAACACGACGTTTTCAGGAACATAACTACTGTGTTAACCCTTTGAGGGTTTTCGTCGTACTAGTACGTCTTACGCGTAGGGGTTTTTGACGTACTAGTACGCATAAATTCTAGCGGCCTCAAATCTCGCGCGAAAAGGCTGATAGGCCTAGGTGTGAGAGAATGGGTCTGCGTGGTCAGTGTGCGCGGTAGAAAAAAAATCTGGGACCCAGTGGTGCATTGTGGGAATGCCCTCTTAGTAAACAAGTCCACCATGCCCGCGGTAAAAACTCCTCACTCCTCGGCAAATTTTTTTTTTTTTTTTGGGGGGACACTTTTGTTCCCCAGGACATTTTCTAAAGTGTTGGAAGTCCCAAGTGAAAAATAAAATTCTTTTGGTTTTTGTAGGTTTTGACCGAAACAAATTGACCATAAATCGGTAATAGTGAAAAAAAACCCCGGACCCCCTCAGCCTTCCCCCTTTGGTGCTGGGCCCTGGGGTTTAAAGTTCATTTGTTCCAAAACCCCAAGAGGGAAACTTCTATTTTCCCCAAATTTCCCCGGGACTCAGATGAGAGCATGGGTGTTTATAGTGATAGGGGTGGGAAAAATAAAAGCTCTTCAAACTATTTCCCAGTAGTGATAAGTGAAGTGCAATATTCCCCGTGAGGGGGCCCCCCCAGTATTTACGACGTTATTTGCGCTCGGGAAAAGTGTGCCATATGTTATACCAGGGGGAAGGAAAGTGTATCCGGAGTACACCCCGTGGCTGTACAACGGGAAACAGACAGTGAAAATGACGAAGATACTGTTGCAATTGGGATGGAAAATGTGGGGGTGGTTGTGGGGGGGGGCGGGGAGGCCCCCAAGCAGGGGGCCCCTGTCCCAAACCACGCTCCCAGCCACCCCCCGCCTAGTAAATCTGAAAAAAAGGGCCCCCCACCCCCCACTCCCCCACCACACCCCCCTTTCCAAAAACCACAATTTCCCAAAAACCCAAAAACCCCCCAAACCACAACCCCTGTCATTGTCCAGTCCCCACCGGGCAGACCGACCGGGGGGTTTTGGGGGAAACCCTGTAAATTTTTTTCCAAACCCCCCACCAGTTTGCCCCCGCCAAAGGGAAAAAATACGGCCATCTTGTGAAATTTGGGGCCCAATGCCACGGGAACGGAATGTTTTGATTTTATTCTTTGACGAACCACTGATGAAAAGTATTGTCAGGGAAAAGCAACCACTTACGAGTACACCATGGAAAAAACACAATATTTTCACCAAAATAAGTTACCCCAATGGAAGGGGCAACTGTGGCTGAGATGTATCTTTTTTTTGGGCCAAAATAATGCTTATGCCAATGTGTATAAGCCCCAAAAGTAAAATCATTGGTAAACGGGCCCCCTGTTTGAAACCCACCGGGTTTTTCAGGAAAAAATTGCCAGTAAAATTGATTTGTGTTTAATTTTTCTTTGGGCTTCACTTCTCAGAAAAAACCGGGCCCTGAAAAGAATGACGGGTTTTTAAAAGATTAGGAATGTTTTTTGTGTACCCTGAAACAGAAATTCAGTACTCATTTTTATCCCTTCAGGAAGCTTGTAATTGACGAGTCTTTGATTCTGTTAAAAGGGAAAGACTCTCTTTCAAGCAGTTTAAAACCAAACAAGAGGAAAAAGCTTTTGGGATAAAATTTTTTGTGCTTTTTGATTTGTTACAGTGGTCTGGTATTGGATATTAAATTTTGTACATGGAAGTTTTACATTTCAAAAAACCAGGAAGTTATTGGGAAACTCAGGTGATGTGTTTTTAACAATATAGAACCATTTCCCTTGGGGAAGGGGCATTTTATTTATATACAGATAAAATGGTACACAAGCCCCTCCCCTCAGGGTTTTTTTTCGAGTGAAAATGACGATGTTTTGGGGGGGAACCCAAAATGCGTTTCAAAAACGAAAAAAATATGCCCGGTTTGGGTGCTGGCACCGCGAGGTGAGGTGGGGGGCGGGGTTTTTGGGCCCAATGACAAACATTTTGGGATTTTCCCGGGGGCATGACAAACGAGATGGTTTACAAATGTTGTCATCAATTTTACCCTAATGAAAAGGGCAGACAGTGGAAAGGGAAACATAGAGAGAGAAATGAACCCCTTCTAAAACCTGCAAACGTGATTTTTTTTCACCTTCAACATGGTTTTAGTGGAAAAATGTGACATGCAAAATTGGGTTTTTCTGATTGTGGGGTTTGAAGAGTTAAAAGTGGGACCCTCAAACTTTTTTTTCCCCTCTTCTGGGGGCATTTCCATGTCAATGCTTAAAAATATGTATAAGATGAGCACCAGAAACAAAAAACAGTACGGCGAATTCTTTTTTGTCTGTTTCAGGGGAAAAAAGTATTCAAGGAACCCAAAGGAAAAAGCACCTGCAATTGAACCCCCCCCCACCCAAAATTTTTCAACAAAATTCCTGCCGTTTTGGGAAACCCTGGTGATCATTTCCCGGTAAAACTGCCTGCTATGCCCTTTTAAGGAAAAAGGCTCGAAGAGTTGTTACGTCTGTTTACATACAAAAAAAAAGCCCACGACAACGCAAAAGGGCACCGTTTTTTGTGTGAGGGGTGCAAAACTCCCCCTGTGCAGAAACCCTGTTTCAAAAGTTCCCCCAGGGTGCCAAAAGGAATTTTTAGAAACATGTCCTGTTTTTTACTGTAATGTGTATATAAAATATTTGAAAATTGTAATTTAAACAACATTTTTATTTGTTTGTTTTTTGTAAAAAATTTTCTGTAAACAAAAATTTAAAGACAAACCCGTGGGTTTTCGCCCCCTTTTTGTGTTTGTATTGAAAAAAAATAACTTACAAAATACTGATTAAAGTTGGCCTCAGGGCCATAAAAGTTACTCAGGAAAAAAGGGAAAAAATTTGGAAAAAAAAAATTAAAAATGGGACATAAAAAAAGTTTAAATAGAAAAAAAACCGGGGGGGACGGGCCGTCGGCGATGTTACAAAATGTTGTTCAAAATTTTTTTCAAAATTTTACCCTCATATCTCGGGAATTTATTGGGCGTTTTAAAAAATTTTTTTTTTAGCCTATAAAGGGTTTTGAAAAAAAAACTTTTTTTCATAAGAAAAAAAAAATTTTTTTTTTTTTTTGAAATTTGGGCGACCCTGGAACGAGTTTCGGAAAAGGGCCCGTCGCCCTCAAGGGTTTTTAAAGACGGTCTACTGAGTAAAAGAAAATTTCTTATTTGTTTCAAAAATTTTTCTTTGTTACAATTTGTTTGGGGAAACAAATCGGCCCGGCCTTCTACAGTGACATGTAGCTAAAAAAATACTAAATTTTTTAATACGAGGAAACTATTCAAGGGCC